TGCATAATTATGGAGAGCGCTTGATTGCAAAGGCCTCTTCTAGTTCTCCTATTTGTCCAAAACACGCTTCTGTTCAAACAGCAGAGAAATAGGGCAGGGAATCTGGAGGAGGGGAAGGAAGAAGAGAGGAAGAAGGGCTGAGGGCTGGCAGGGAGGGCTCTCTGCTTTTCTCAATGAATGCAGAGGCCTCTGCAGATTTGCATAGGAGCCGACCGCGCCGTGCTATTGGTTGGCAGGCGCAAGTGGGGCGGGACGAGGCAGGCCGGCCTGCGTGGGTCGGGCTGCCGCGCGGAGTTGGCGCGCGAGCCCCGCCCCCGCAGCGGCCCCGCCCCCTCCCGGCGCGCGCTCGCGGTTCCGCCAGCTGCAAGTGGCGGGCGCCCAGGCAGATGCGATCCAGCGGCTCTGGGGTCTGCAGCGGCGTCAGCAGCTGGCACTGTCCGCCACCGCTGTCCAGAGGGTCACGGAGAACTGAGGCATCCTCCGGGTGCCCTTTGGCTGGACCCCAAAGCTGCGGGTACTGCCGAAGGGTGAGGACGAGGCAGCAAGATTTCGGGCGACCCTGCCCTGAATGCTTTCACTCCACTGCTGCCGCCGGGGCCGCTCTAGTGCCAGCGAACTCAGAGGAGCCAAAACGCGTGCGACAGCAAGGACGTTGTAAACTTGCGCGGAGGCGGCTGCCTGAGTCTCCGCGCTGCAGCGCGGGGGCTCGGATTCACGCCCTGAAGTTGAGCGGCTAGTGCAGACCGAAGACTTCTCGCAGTGCAGGGTCTCCGGAGGGTGCACGCGACAGCAGCCCCAGCCCGCAATTCCTGCCCAGACCAGGAGAGAGGAGCTCAGAAGAGCACAGGAGGCAGCCAGGACAGCAGGCAGTAGCTTGCAGCCACCATTCTCAGCCTGGAAAGTTGCGGAGTATTGGCGCCTGCCTGGAGAGGGGACACACCTCAGCTCCGGCCGCGGGGGGGTTGGGGCGGGGCAGAAGAGGACGGTGCCCAGTTGCCACCTCCCTTCAACCACAGTAGTTCCTCGTTCCCCAAGTGCATCGAGAGCTACAGACAGGGGCGCGGCACCCGGTGCGGTGAGCGCGAGGCACAGGGTCCCAGCTGTGGAACCCGGCGTGATACAGGGAGTCCTGACTCGTCCGAGCTTCCGGCTCTGTTGCATTCAGACTCCTGTTTGCCTCCTTGCAGTTGGGAGAAAGCAGGATTATCGCGTGCATGCATAATTCTCCAGGGATCCAGTGGAAGGAGTCGTTCAGGACCAAGGACTGCTTGAACCCTCTTACCACTTGGGGGAAAGCGAAGGGTGAGGGTGGGCTGGGGAGAGTCGGGAGACTTGTGTAAACAACCTTCTTGACAGGATGGGAACCATCGGGCTTCTGTGGCTGCTGCTGCCGCTGCTTTCAGTGGCAGCCTTGGGCTCCGGGACTGGGACCGGCCAGAGCGCGGGCTCACCGGCGGTGGGGCCACCGCTGCAGCCCCGGGAGCCGCTCAGCTACTCGCGCCTGCAGAGGAAGAGTCTGGCGGTGGACTTCGTGGTGCCTTCGCTCTTTCGCGTCTACGCCCGGGACCTGCTGCTGCCATCAGCGCCCTCGGAGCTAAGGGCGGGCAGACCGGAGGCCAGGGGCTCCCTGGCTCTCGATTGCGCCCCGCTGCTTAGACTGCTGGGGCCTCCGCTCGGAGTCTCTCCGGCTCCCGAGGTGGCCCGGACGCTGTCCAGGGTGCTGAAAGGTGGCTCGGTGCGCAAGCTCCGGCGCGCCAAGCAGCTGGTGTTGGAGCTGGGAGAGGAGGCGATCCTAGAGGGTTGCGTCGGGCCCCCAGAGGAGGCAGTTGTGGGGCTGCTCCAGTTCAACCTCAGCGAGCTATTCAGCTGGTGGATTCACCACGGGGAAGGACGGCTGAGGATCCGCCTAATGCCGGAGAAGAAGGCGTCAGAAGTGGGCAGAGAGGGAAGGCTGTCCGCCGCGATCCGCGCCTCCCAGCCCCGCCTTCTCTTCCAGATCTTCGGGACCGGTGAGCAGCTCCCGCCTGAGCATGTCCAGATTTGGGCTTTTTAGTCGGATAGATCTACTGTAATTATTAAATCACCTCTACTCCCATCCCACTTTCTAAAACTTCAGCTTCTGGTTCTTAACCCACTTTCCTTCCGCAAACCTCCTTCCCGAGTTAAGACCATAGTTTTTTATTTTCTCCCGGAATGCAGTCACTCCCATGGACCTTCCTTTTCTGGGAACCAAGCTGGGAGAAAAGTTTCCTGCTGTTAGCGGAATGGCTTCGTCTGTGAACTTGTTATACATGCTCCAAGCCAAAATTGGGTGCTCTTTGTCCTCGGCCTTGGGACGGTTGAAATGCCCTGATGGCTTCTAGGTTCTAAGCTTAGTACTAGACCTCAAAAGTATTGTCCTGTTTCCCTGTCTCTTATTTCTTTTCCTGGCCATCATAGATTTGGGAAATGTACACTTTCTTAGGGAATATAGAATTTTTCCTTATACTATTAAATCTCACCCAACTGTCCCCCAGCCAAATGTTGGCTTGCCCAGGATTGCACCTTCTTTAATAATTCATCATGCCACCCCCACCCGGTCTGCTATGCATGCTCAGACCCTCATTCTCCCTCTTAAATGTGGTTGAGAAAGCACCACAGGAATTAAGGAGCTGGGGACAGGAGGGAGCAAAGAAGGGAGGGATGTAGTTATGACATCTTGCTTTGGAGGTGTCATCATGAGGCCAGGGGGAAACAATAGTTGATTTCCTTGCATTTCTTACCCTTTCCCCTCTAATTCTTAGCTTGAAGGCCTGCAGCAGCAGCTTGTGATGATAGTCTCTGGCAGGCTTCTTTCACTGCAGATATCTCTGCTGGAGACTCCGAAAAATGAGGTTTCTATCTCATTTACTCCCTTATTTCTTCCTATATTCATTGTGTGTGTGTGAGTGTGTGTGTGTGTCCAGGCACTTACTTCTAACTCTTCTCAGAGTATCTTTTGACTGGAAAACCAGGTGGTTTTGAATAGATGTTTCTCTCGTAAGACAACTGGAGAAAGACTTGTGAATAAAATGTACAATATAAATGAATGAGAAAAGCACAGAAAAGAAATCAGGCTTTTAAAAAGCTTACACTAATTCCATTGAGCAAACCCCGCTTATTTTCTATCATTCTCATCATCAGAAATAAATGAAGGTCTTATGCTCCACTGGTTACTAATGGCGAGTATTAATTGGATGGAAAGCATTGAAAAGGGCCCATTGTAGAGCTACAAGTATCTCCCATTCTTGTCCCAACACACACCACACACACACACGCACATTCCCCCACAACCCAATATTCTCATGTAGTAGGGATATTCTGAAGCTGAGTTTCAACAGTCACTGCACAGAAAACATATTAGTATGTTTGCCCCAAGGAAAACAGAGTATGGATGCAAATTTCTGTACTAGCACTAGCGACATTGGAATCTAAAATGACATTCAATGCTGGAATTTATATGGTCCATAGTAAGAGACACTGAGGAGTTTGATAGTGCCTTCAGTGAACTAAGATGGGAAATGGATACTGTTGTCCCATCAGAGATACTTTTGTAAGGAGCAGCTGGGCTTTAATATCATCCTGGCTTCTATGGTTTATACATGTAACGTTGTGTTTTAGTGCCTAATGTTTTTTAACAGACAGGACAATGACTTCTCTGAAAACGCAGATTTTCTTCCAGTTTCATGTCTATGAACATCTCTGGAGTTTCCCCATCTCCTCTTGTCGAATGATCATAGAACCCAGCAGTCTACATCAGCTGTTGTCAGATGTCAGGTGTCAGGCAGAAAGAGCTCTTTCTACAGCACCAAGCCTGTCTACTATAAATAGGCAGGTTGCATGAAGCTCTCAGTAGGTGTCTCTGAAGAGTCACACACTTACTGCATTTGAAGAAATACTCTAGTCAAGCTTTAGAAAAGGAATTGAAGCTAATGAGTGGGGGAAGGGGTTACATAGAAAGGGGTGTGCTCCAAGGGCTGCTCTGCTACTGGCCGCAGGAGAGCACTGTGAGCATCCCAAGTCCTCCCTCAACAGCTCAGTCCATTTGGCTGCTAGACTAAGCCCTTATGCATCATTTGACACATCTAGTAATGCTGGTTTCAGAAGGAGCCAGGATTCTGCCATTAAAAGGCCAGAAATTTTGGCCAAGCATTTTTCAGCAGGATTGGGATCAAATGATTATTGATGGGATCAAATAAGACATTAAGTGTAACTGGATGAGCTCCCCATGACCTCCAGAGAGACAGACAGCCTATTGAAAAGCACTTCAGGCCTTCACACTTAGAACGACCTGGTCTCTCCTCTCTCTGGGTACACTTGTATACTGCCTGCAGTCAGGCAGCCAGCCATGCAGGGCTCGCCTCTGGCATTACCACTGCCTCCCCAGCCTCCTTTGGGTACTGTCTCCACTGCAGACCTCCCCAGGGAGTAGACACACCCTGCTGTATTCTGCACTTGGAACAACATACATCATTGTGGTTCTCTTCATTTTCTTTGTGAAAATTTAAGCTTAGGTTCTGCCACTAGATTGATTTGCTATTTATCATGTTTAGAGAAATGAGTTTATTCTTCTTATATAGGCTCTGATTTACAGGAAAGGCATTTAACTCTTCTGTGACGTGGGATCTTCAATTCTACAAAGAGAAAGTAGGCAAAACTCAGCTTATTTCTTCCTGCTTCTGCCCACCTGACTGGTGGTCTGGTCTGGAGGTAGGCTAACATGCCGATGGGGTCATTTGGGGCACGGAAAAGAAGAATAGCTCTTTCACCTCTTGTGGCGAGGGTCCTGGAGCAGCCCATTTGTCTTGGCCTGAAGATAGCTTCTTAAACCTAAGCAGGACCATAACTAGGGATATGGTATAATGAAAATGGAAAAGTACCAGTAGGACAAAGCAAGACCTCTGCATTTCTTGTGGTTTGGGCTGTCTGAGAGGCCTTATAATACATTACACGAAAATGGTTTTTCTTTGTGGGTTGCTGTGAATTTGTACAAAGGATCAGTGTTTTAAAGTCTGAAGCAGTTCTCCATAGCACCCATTCATGGAGAAGATGTGGGGAGACAGTTGCTGGGACTATATTAATTGTAATGGACTATCCTGAAATAGCACAAGTCACTGAAAAGGCATTTGCATTGAAGCTAACACACTGCACACAGCTCCAGTTTATCTTGGTTTGTAGGCATTTTAAGATCTACTGTCACTGCCCAGGCAGAAGTCTAAAGGATGGTGACTTAAGGGATATGAGGCCTGTTTCCCTGTAAGCACCCCTTCCCTCTCCACGAAAGGGAATATGTGACTTGGGACTTCACAGCAGTTTAGAGTGGGTGTATGCAATGCACTATACATGGCCCTTGACCTCATGTATCTATAAGTCCCTTCCCATTTAATTTCTGGAGAGGGTAGAGAGAGCAAAGGAAGATAGAGAGGAAATTGAAGCTCCCAGAAGGGATATCAGTTATTGTAGGTGAATTGGGAAAATTGGAACTAGTCCAGAGAAGAGCGGAGAGCTGATTTAACAGTTGAAGGGACTGATTTATGATGAAAGATGAAAGGAATTAAATATATACTGCTGGGCTAAAAGGCGATGAAGGGAAAGCCATGGTAACAATCTACAATCTCTGAAAAAAGAGAGTGGCAGTGAAGGAAAGGAGTTACTTAGTGTGGCCCATGGAAATAATTGGATGAGACTTGTGGAAGGAAACTTGGGGTTGGATATCAGGGAAGCCTTGTTTTCTGAAATTGATATTCTTCTGACTGTGGAATGGAATTCTAAGGGAGCAGGGAGTCAGGTGAGATGTGGGTCAGACAAGCTCCAGCATTCATAATTAAACAGTTTTATATTTTTAGATGTTGAGAAGCCCCAACAGGCCAGTGAACTGGGATGGGAAATGGCAGCCGGAATCAGGATTTGGGGGTATCTAAATTCTGAGATCATTTGGGGATTGGTATTTCCAGAGGAACTTAATAAAAAAAAAAAAAAAAGAATTGCATGCATATCTCTGAAGTTGGTGGGAAGCACTTACTTGACAATTGTTAATGAAAAAAATATGTTTAAATGATTTGATTCATTCTTCCTTACCGCAAGATTAAACATGGTATTTCTCTGCGGTGTGATATGTATGTCCAGTGGGGGAAGGCAAACTTGCCATAGAATTATATATCCAAGACACATCTATGGGCTTGTGTGTGGCACTGAGTCATTGGTAGGACAGGAGGTGACCTGGGTCTTGAGAGGATAAGATTGGTTCTAGATTTAGTGGACACCTTCCAGCTACTTAAAAACCCTTTGAAATGTTGAGAATATTATGTCTGTTCATCCACATCCAATTTAACATTTCAAAAATTTACAAAGAGAAAGGACATCCATGAGGAGTTTTTGTGTGGGGTGTGGGAGGAAAGCTTGCTCATTAATAAAAATAAATATGTTCATAAAGAAGTTGGTCTGCTGAAGGTCAGGAGGGATTTGCCTGCAGGTAGGAGAAGAAAGTGAAAGTCATGAGAAGCCTCAATGCTCTGCATTCTCAGGTTTGCTGCCCAATAGACTCATCAGAGAAATTTGCTCAGGCTGACTGGTAAAGGACATTTTGTCTTCCTTGATAGTCATTATTGACGAGGTAAGGGACTTTAAAGTTTATAAGCACATTCATATTTCTTATTTTTATCAGGCCTACAATAGGCAGGACAAATATTTGCTTCCTTTTATAAATGAAGTAATTGGAATCCAGATGTTCGGTAACAGTTTTTTAAGGTCATATGAGTACAAAGTGGGAATGGAAGCAATGGCTCAGCTCTGGCTCATAAAAACCACCACCTACAAAAGGTTTAACTGTTCTTAATGGGCTCAGGACCATTAACTAGTTGTTAATTTACATCTCTACCCATGTCCTTCACTTGGCAATGAGTGGAGAGTCTGGAGGGGCACAGCTCCAGCTAATTATAATAAAGGAACAGTATACCATTCAACACATATTCACACTGTGTTGAGAGGTTAT